AAAGGTTTCTGTGGCCGACAACTGCGTGAAAAAAATTACAAATGTCAAGCACATATCTATAACTTAAAGCCCTGGTTAAAGGTGCCATTTGGGGGCATGGCAATTGGTACTGCACTCAATGATCCATTAATTTAGCCAGAGAACTCCTCAATCAGCCCGCAGAGGAAGCGGCAAAGCCGGCAAAAATTAGAGCTCATGTGGCACTGGATTCAAGGGGTTGTTGCAGCAACAAGTTTAAGCCACCTTGATTGCAATTAGTAGCATTCTCCGACTTTGTTGCCACCTTAATGAAATGAAAACAAAGTTGAAAAAAGGTAATGAAAACGACGGGGCGAGGGGAAATTCAAGCCAAGGCGGCACTTCATGGCAACGCTTTGAGGAGGACTCGTTGACAAGGATCCCAGTCCACAAAGTCAACTTCTTAAGTTGTAAGCTTTGTTTCGCTTGGTGGGAGTGGGCCAATATGAACAGCAGCTGTAATGGATTATCTCTAGGTTTTAGCAAATAAATTGCACTGCTCAGAAAATCAGATCTTTTTATATCTTTTAAATACCCCCCTAGTATTTAAGAACATTTACAACAGAAGGGTATGCAGAATCCAGCAACTAAAGTCTATTTTCCATTTTATTTTTTGCCTAACAGATTAGGACAGTAAACATAAATCAATAAATTAAATTAAACTAAACTGAAAATAAATTAAAAGAGTCATTAATCCTAGAAAATCCTTTTATAATAAACCAAGCAAATGCGGTAAATGCTGACGTTAGATTATTTATTAAAAATAATATTGAAATTAAAAATCGTTTGTTGTTAAAATACAGGTTAGTTACAAAATGAAATTTATAAACTTTCTCAAAACAAGTTCCAAGGGTTTTTAACTTACATTTACCCTGATAAATATTCGGATAAATATGCCAAAGTGGCTGCAAATGATCATCAGAGGTGCTTGCGCGGAAGGACTTCGAACCATTTAGCCCCCCTGCTTAACATCCAATAACAGCATCAGCGACTTCATGCGATTTTGATTGCCAGATTCAACTGCCACTTGTTGGTGCAAGTATTACCCCGCCGCCGAAGCAATTGCTTAAAGTGAAAAGGGTGCGGATGGTGCACGCACAAATGGGCACCCCAAACAAAGTCCGACTTGATTCCACCCCAAGCAATAATAATGCGAAATAAAGTAAATGCTGCTCACAAATTTCCAATTGAACGTAATGGTCGATGGGGGCGTGGATGCGATGGCCATAAAGGAACGCTCCTAACACCTCCGGGCGACTGTCTTACCAGCGGGGAATTGGTCCGCCGCCTAATGTCTTGAAGAATTTCAAGTCCCACAGCAAATTAAAATTAATGCAGAGCCCGTGGACATCGAGGATTGTCGAGGTAGCAGCAGATGTTGCAGTCGAAACTGGGCGAGTCATAAATTATTCAGGACACTTGTCAGCTCCAACTGGCCAGTATCAGGACCAGAACTCAGTTATCTGGACATCCCAACACATGTCGCTGATGGGGACTGCAAACTTAATCCCGAATAGATATCGGATGGGTTAAATTGCAAATTGAGTTCTATCAAATTTAAGCCTTGACCTTGTCGAGGATGAAAGGCATGTAGCAAACTTTATAATCCCCATAAATTTCGTGCGTCTCATTGAACTCGGATTATCGCATTCGGTCAGCTTGGCTTCATATTTTCCTGTGGGTGGTTTTGGGGGGTTTCTTTTATTATTCCGGGTGTTGGTAATTAAATTTGTCATCACGCTCAGCTGGCAATTGGTCGTGGGTCAACGGTCATAAAAACTGACGCCCAAAAGTAGGCAAGTGGCCAAAGAGCCAACGAAAGCGAATTTCACCAACGAAGAGTGCTCTCTCTTACTTTCTCTTTGGCTCGTATTTTTGGGGGTGCGAAGCTTTTGTCCCAAAGCTCACTTTGCATATTCTTGCAAAGCTCGCCGTCTGATTCCGTGTCTGTTACTTTATTTTCCGTCCGTCGCTGTTAATGATGCGTTAAATTTAAATGGCCATAACAATTAACGATAATTGCTTTTGAAGTTATTGTCTATAATGATATTTAGAGTTGTACGGAGGAGTTTGAAATATTTGCATACTTATGAATGCCATTATGCTAACAGTTAAGGCAACCATTACCGCTTACCTCCCTCGATATCTTAATCAAAATTGGGAAAACTGGGAGAAGCCTTCGCTTTATGGCAAGCAGGTCACCCCAAAGTGCACTTGTTGCCTTTCAATAAATAATTTTTATTGCAGTTTCGGTGAGTTTGAGGTAGCACAAGCAACTAATCCCCCGCAAAACAAGGATTAAATTACCCCGCCATCGAAGTTCGAAACAAACAGAAACGATTGCAATTTTTGGGGGAGGGTCGGCTGGGAGTCCTTTGGCAACATTTATGAAACAGTTCCCCCACCGCCCTTCAAATTCATTTCAATTCAATTGCCCGCCCACGATGCGGATACGTAACACAATAAATTATCAAGGCACCGAAAAAGACCGCACGTGGAAGGCTCAAATTCAGGGGAGAATATAGATGGGGAAGCGTCCTCGAGGAGGCAACGTCAAAGGTTAGTTTATGCCTCTGCCCAATTCAAAACACAATAAATACTGCAAGTGGGCGTCGGTTCTGTTTGTTTGCCAGCTCTGTGCTCTCCGATATCAACAAGAAATTCAAATAAATGCATTTTAATGCCAGCTGCCTTAGCCGAGTGTGGACGCTTTAAAAGCTTTCAAATAGAATAATTTATTTCCCTCTCTGGAGGCGATTCTGTAACGTGGGCGGTGGGCGGTGGGCGTGGGATTGGGCTGGAAAGGGGTGGTGTGCCACCGTCGATACCGCCGTACATTGATGTGTTAATTGCCGCAATTCCAAGGAGGCCAAGGAAACAGGCAATCAGATAGACCAGGGTTGCCTATCGCTCTGCGGATCTATACTAATTAAATTTGCTGATTTAATACAATTTATTGCCTCAATTTACCGATTATCTGCCTGGCAATCGCACATTCTGTGAGCCCTTATATCTGTGAAATTCTCTTAATAAGCTCTGACAACCCTAGGGGCAATTTCCGTTGCCTTGCATGCACCATCACCCCCAATAATTCTTACACATTTTGTGTAAAAGTATTTTCCTTTTCCTATTTTTTTTCTTCGCCTTCCTGAAACAATGCATTTTATCTTGGCCCTTACACATTTTATTTTTACTCTTTTCCATTCAGCTTTGACATAAGAACACACACACATTCAGCGTGGAAACGCACATGGAAGCAGAGGCTGAGACGCTGCACGTTGGGGTGGACCATTATGTCTACTTAGGACAACAAACCTACAGCCTATTTAGGAATCTTAAAAAAATATTAAATACAAATTTTTATTTTTCCTTATCAAGGAAATGTTATATTACTGTTTGTACTTATATTTTATTTATACTTTAAGTTTGTATAGCAAAAAATGGATAAATCAATTATTCTAACAATTATAAAAATGAAGTTCTTATTTATTAAGTCCAAAATAATGATGATTAAAACTAAAAACATTATTTTTTTTTTTATTAAAACTATTTTTTGGAACTTAAAATACCAGAATTAAAATTCCAAACTAATAATTGACAATCATTTATTAAACATTCTGGCGAAAATCTAGCTGGTTGCACTGATATGCAAAAAGCATTTCCTTTTCTGGGCAACCCCAAAAGAAAACTTATAGGCAGTCCGCCTGCCGCCCTGGTATTTCCCGCCACCTTGGGTTCAGAATGCAAGCCAGTATGCATGTCTGCACTAGATACGATACTACAACTAAATACTTAATTTTGCTCTTTGCCGTTGCCTTTGATTCTTTTAATTTTCCACAGCATAAGGGACGTTGGATGGGGTGGGCTAACTAATACAGATGTCTGCGTTGTCTGGCAGTACTTACGGCCTACGCACGCACACACCCACACCAAGGAGGCGCCGAGGGGGGTTCCCAATGTGGGCGGGATTTGGGAGGCGGGGTGTCTGGCTGCCGGGCTGACTGGAAGACAGCTGTTCGCAGCAATGGGTTCGATGCGACTGCAGAATAAGTCGGTCTTTCATCGCCAGCGGACGTTGTCTGTGCTCCGTTTCCATCCCCTAGGCGGAATATTACTCATACGCCGCGTGGCGCGATCACTGGCGATGCGGAAGTGAAATTGTTTTGTGATTGAAATGTAAATAAGCAAGGCCTGCCAAAACAAATATCGTGTTTATCATTGAAAATATGTGAAAGTGCAGACCGCTGATTGACGCAGGCATCGACGAAAATTGCAGTGCACCCGTGACGTCTCTTTTAATAAATCTCTTTGGAGCGTTTATTATTCGTTGAAAATGTGAATTTTCTAATTTCGCTGAAATATCAATCTGAAATGCAGCTCTCGGAAGAATAATTCAATAAGTTTTCGCTGCCCGTTCCATTTTATAAACATTTGGTTTTAAGTTACCGAAAAGAAATACAGTATTTCAAAAGTAAATTTAAAGAAAGATACAAGCCATATTGAGCTGTTGACAAGCTGCCATTAAGTGCACACTGGTTAAGATCGCACAGAAACCATATTTCAGTTTCATGTCCTCATTATAATTACTTTATGGATTGTTAAAATTTTAATAACCTTTTCAAACTAGAAAATAGCTTAATTAGACTATTACACTGGAATAAAATTACTCAAAACGTACTAGTTCTATCACAGTCTAACCTTGAGACAGCCGATCGTCGATCTCTTTTTTTCAAGAAACCAAAGCTCTGCCGTTTTGTATATCATTCATTGACCGGTTCGATTGTTTAGTCAGATGTTTTAAATAAATTACACATGCTACTAGGTAAACAAACATTCGGCATTGGAGCAACTCAAGCAATTAGACATTTAAGACCATCGGAAATCGTTTTTGAATTTCCCAAACTCATTGAGCTATAAAACAATTCTATTTCTGCCGTCCCCGTATCCTTTCAGAATGCAGTCGAATGTTTTCAAAATGCTTAAATTCTTGTTTGACACATTTTGACATAATGTTTTAAAAGCGAGACAGTTTCGGTGCTTAATGAATGATTTATTGAGTGAGTTCCGTTCCGAAATTCGGAAATATTTCCTTGGCATAATAGGACTTGTTGTCTTGGCGACTGCGGATTTTACAAATATTATCGCTCTTGGGGCCCAGAGTCCGTGCAACGTGTAGGTGTTTCATTCGAACTTTCCCCGAATTTCGTTCGATTTCCATTTTCCCAATGCTAATGTAGAAATCGCAGAACGCCCCCGAAGGGCAGACAGGTAATATTTATCTCCAGCCCGCCCCAATGAGCTCACATTTAATACGTGGTCGGAGGTAAACACGCACACGAATCGTATCTGCCGACATGTCTAATAGGAAATTGGCTAGAAGCGGCCAACTATTTGAGTTTCCCTCTGTTCCTCAGATCTGGTGGTGTATCGTAATACTAGTACGCCCGGACTTGTATAAAATAAACAGGCAAAGGTACAATAAATTGAGGCAAACTTATTTGTATGTGTGCCCGAGCAACAAAAGTACAAGAAAATACAAATATCGAACACAATGGAAACAATAATGTGCGAAACGATTGGAAATGCGCCACAGTCGCTGACGCTGTCTCCACCGCCGTTGCCCCCTCTGTCTCTGTCTATATCTCTATATCTCTGGGCCAGTCCGGTCAGCGTCCGATTCTCAGCCAGAAGCAGCCGGCTACCCGGAGGGCCAACATCAAGTCGCAGGCGCGAAAAGGCAATCGATTGGAATTATCGGAGTAATCGCTTAAATTTATAAAATTCTATCGGGTATACATTTTTTTATAAAATCGAAAAGAGTCTGCTCACTGAAAATCTATTCTAAGGTGTGATCGTAAAATCATCGATTACAATTATCGAAATAATCGCTCTGAGTCGATCAAGGAAAGACTAAAATTTTAATGTTGGTGGCAAAAATGATGTGTGGCCCCTAATTATAGAACTAAAAGTGTTTAAAATTAATAGGAGGTCCACCATTTAAGATCAATTTTTGTGTTTCGTCGTAACTATCGAAAATATCGTAAGAAAATCATCAGCCTATCGGTGCCAAATATTCTGTGTCAAAATTACAGAGTTAAAAGTGTGCTTAGCCCCCTTTTTTAAGTATTCTTCCTTTCTTTTTGTTAGAATAAAATGAATACCCATTAATATAATATCCATTACATATGATAAACATTCCAAAAATAATCGATAAGCGAGTGAAACTACTGATCAACGATAACCATTTTTCTTTTATTTTCGTGTTCTCCAGCAGTAAACGTGTTAAGCTCACCAAAATACCTTCGTTTGGCATCCAAGCAGGTGACAAGTGTTAAAGTGCAATGTGCTAATTATGTCACACGGGGCGTATGCGTGCTGTTGAAAGCCAATAGCGAGTGAAAGCCAAAGTAAAAGGCACAAACGGGAAACAGAAAATCGAGTCGAATCGAATCGAAAGAAAAGGAGAAGGTGGCAAAGAAAAAGGTCTAAACGGGCATTCAATACTTGTTGAGTTATTAGCTGTGTGTGTTCGAGTGCGATTGTGGAAACAAACAAATGTCAACTGCCAATGCCCCGAGAGTGTAAAAAGAAAGATGTGATAAATACGAGCCGAATCGCAGGGGAATCGGAAGCGGAATCGGAATCCGTGGAAAACGAAAATGAAGTGTCAGCGTTTCGGGATGAAATTATCAATTGGGCAAGCTGCTGCTGAAATGTGATTTATCCACCTGCCTGCGGGTGAGGTGTTCTCCGGGTGTTAGCCGCGTGTAGAAGGTGTGTGCGTGTAGACAACAAAGGGAAATAATGTCATGCATTGGCTCGACGGCATTTCTTTGGATGACAATTTAATTAGCGGACGCGCCAGCGGCAGCAACGGCGACAACAGCGACGGCAATCAGCGGAAATCAACGCAGTCGAGCTCATCGCCCACCAAAGCAAGTAGGTTGCACCTATACCAGGGAACACAGTACCACAGTATGTACACCCACTACACCCACACCCACGAGCTTTAATTTGCTGGCGTGAGCCACCAGAGCGTGTTTATTTGGCTTAGAGCGAGAGGAAAGCGCAAACTATCCATGTAATCTAAATATATCCGCAAGGAGTGCTATTTCGAAATTGGTTAACCTGAAGTTTTCAAAAGCTACTTGGGTGTTAAGTCCCCACTTCGAAAATATTTGAGCCCCCAGGAGTGTTCAAAACCTCTTTTTTTGGTTCATAGATGTGAGAAGACAATAAATGATCTTTAAGACATTTGGAGATTATTTACTGATTTAGAAACCGTTAAATTAAATATTTCAATACTATTTTTTTTTTGAAAACCTATTAAAATTACTTATTTTTTTCAGAATTATAATAGAGTTGAGGAGGTAATCAAAGACCATTAAGATCATTAAATGTAAGAAGGTTGACGAAAAAGTTCCAAAGCATAATATAGTAAAACATAAGATTTGCTAAAACATCGATTATGGGAAGATACCATAGATACCATAGGTTTTGGTATTTTTAAACCGGTTTAGATTTCAATATAATACATAAGTATTTTGTTGATTATAAATGTTCAAAAATGTATATTTTTTTTCCAAAATTTGTTTTTTAAAAGTATTAATACTTTTGGTAAATAAAAGTCGTTTGGAAATATAAGGAAGTCAATAACAGCTGAAACAGAATCTCTCATTTCTATTTTATTTATTTGTTGTTTTGTGCCAAACAATAGAGTTTTGCAGCTATTTGCTAAAAAGCATTGCAGGAAGAAACGTGCGGCAAGGAAAATACAAAAGAATTTTCGGGTCAAACGAAAAAAATACTATCTGAAAAATATATTTCAATTAGGCCATAAAATATACTTGAAAACGGTTTTATCCAATTACCCGATTTACTCAGCCTCCTTCAATCAGCGGGATTCCAGCCAAATTTGTCTTTCGCAGAGTAAAAATGGGATTCAAACGTATAGGGGGAAAATGGATTGTATTCAATTTTAATTGGGCAGCAAATTATTTCAGCCCCCGCCCGTGTGTTTACTCGCGGGTTGCTCATAATTCAGTTTCAATTATTAAAAACATATTCATCATTTAGTCCGAGCAATTAGCAATGAATGAAAGGAAAATAGAAAAATCGTTCGTACTTCATTCTCGATTCGATTTCATGCGGATGTGGCTCATTGAACTTGTTTGTGGGTGTTTTTAAAAATATATTTCATGAATCGATTCGGCTGTTATGGTAACGATTCCCCGGCAAACTTGTGGGGCCAATTAAATCGGTCTCGCTTCCGTTACCTTGATCGCTCGTCGATCATCCGCCAGGAATGGCCGCATTGATCTGAATTTTCCGCTCAGTATTTAGCCCATTTTCCGAAAGCCTTCAATTAGCACAGCCGGATCGTGTGGATCCAATCCGAATTGCTTGACGCATTGATTTTATTTTGGAAATAATTCGCAGCAGCTACAACTCGCAAAGTGTTGGTAGCTGTAAATCTCAGCAAATCTCAGCAAAGTCCGCAAATTGCCGGCATATGGTAATTTAATTTGTAATTTATTGTTTACAAATTCCTGTGGGTTTCATTTTGTATCGTTGCGTTTCTTTGCGACGTCCAAACATTACATCTTGTGGCGTGTTGGTAAAAATAGGCACGACTCTCTCACCTTTTTGGAACGTCTGTGGATGACCCAGTAAAGCAAATGAGGCAGCGTATTTGTCAGTCCGAAAATCTCAAAAATCTAAATAAGTTGTTGAGGCTCTGACAGATTCAATAATAATAAATTACTGTGTCAAAATTAACACACACAAGAAAATCTTTTTTTTTATAACAGCCTTTATAGCTAATTTAAAAAAATTTTATGTTGATAGTATGATTATATATATAAAATGTATAAATCTTTTCTCTAGTATGACCAACAGTCAATACTTGACTCTCAATATTTTTCTAGAGTCTGTACTCGATTTAATTATGAACTGACATGTTGACATTAGTCCTAATTTTTTATTGGATTGTTTTAGAAATAATTAAATAGGTAGCACTAGTCAAACGAACTGATAAAATTCCTATTAACCAATTTGTAATAATGAGGTCTTTGGGCTTTTGTGCTCCCTTCGATTAGTATTTGATGTCTTATATTGGACGTTAAAGGTGTTTATTTATTGATTTCTCGTAAGCCGCCAAAGCCTGCGGAAAAGCCCAATAAAATTAAAAACACAATGGCCCATAAAAATAAATCTCTGTCGCCCCTTCCGCACTTTGTCCAGAGAATTAGAAAACTCATATGTTGGCCATTATAAACTTTAACTGCTGCGGTCACACATCAAAAGTTGTGCCCAACGAGTGCAGGCATTATGTGTATTTATGAAATCGTTCATAGTCGGCCCAAAGATCCTCTCGTTCGTTTATCTGGCATAAAAAGTGACCCACACACATCTGTACATCTGTATCATAAGGAGGCACACTGCCCCATAATAGAACCATAAACTGCAACAGGCGGCGGCAGAAATAGACACAAACTTGTTCATTTTGCTTATTTGTCAGAGAGTTTGCTTGTGCATTTTGTTTACTCGACCCCTGTCTTTAGCACCATTTCTTTTCTCTCTCTGTATTCCCCACTTTTCTTAAATTTTTCCACTCTTTTTGGAGTCGTCTAGCCGATACAGTGCTGACCATTATTATGCTGCCGAGAATGAGCTCTAATTTATATTAATAGCCATATATTTTTGAAATAGGAAAAGGAAAGAAGTAAAGGTTTATGGAAATCAGCTTCAGTCAAAGAAAAAGCATTAACTAAATTAAAAAAATGTATATACATATATATTTATTTATAAATATCATACATTTATTCCGAGCAACTGTGTCTGAAAAGTGTTCGATAAATTACCGCCCACAAATACGTTTTAAAATTGATATTCTTCTTAAAAAATGTTACTAATAGTTATATGCTCATCAGAAATTCCTAGTTGGCCTTTGGAATTGTATAAACACAATAATCGATCCCACTTTTTTGAATGAAATTCGTAGGAAAAGCAATCGATTGTTATTGCCAGTGAATATATTTATGAGTCCCACTGTCGGCAGACGGTTTAGCAGCTCACGCACATTCCGGCAGTTTATTGGCATGCCGTATGTTGGCCCGCTCGAATGCACCACCCCCCGTTCCCGCTATCCGCCCTCTGCCCGCCGAACGCACACACACATAGGGGCAACAACAAATAAACTGTGGCTACTCAAAATATTTAACACGAAAAAGCAGAATACACACAATCCACGGGTGAAGCCAAGTGGTTGCAGTTCCCAGTCGCGTGCCTCGCAGGCCACATCGTATCTGAATCTGAATCCGTCCGAGAAAGTATCTTGTGTCCGGGGCAGTGCGTATCTCTTTGTCACCCCCAATCGCGCGTGGGTGTCGTGGCCCAAAACCACTCTCCTCCAACCATACATATAAGTAAATGAAAGTGTGTCCAAAAGTGCACCTATAAAATCACCTGGTGATCATCTTTAATGGTAGATATTGCTTAAGAAGTCGGCATAAATTACCATAAAATGAATTAAAATTTATATGTGCGGCTGGTTATTTGCGAATTTTCGGCATTCATAACGTTCGCTCCAAACTGGCTCTTCATAAAATTTAATACAAATATTTATGAGTTCTTATTACGATACTGAGTAAGTTTATAAATGAAATAAATTCACTCTCCCCTCTTTGTTTATTCAAAGCGTATATTCTTGCGAAAGATATTAAGCTTGCGGAATTCGCAGATTCAATCATAACTTGGCAGTTTATATTTCTTCAATTGGCATCTTTTGAATGGAATTAAAACGTGTCTGCAATATCTTTTCTGGAATCTTTCGTAAATCTTTCACCTTGATAAATTTACGACCCCAGCCATAAATTAGCTGAAAGGAATGTATATACATATGTATTCCATTATATAGGGTCCTGTGCGCCAGTTATGTAATGGACAAAGAAAATCCTTTCAATGCTGCCCGAGAGAAAAGAAAAAGTCCCAAGAGGGTGCGGGTATGGTTGGGATGGATACGGGGAGGCCGTCAAGGAGCGAGGCTGAATTGTAACACATGTAAATATTAATGAAGGATGACAATGTGTACTTGACAACTTAATCGATAAATCAATTGCTATGCCAGATAATGCTTTACCCCTTTTGAATAAAAAATGTGTGTTCCGCTACAGTTTTTTGTCTGGCCCTTTGTGGCTGTTTGATAAGGAGGTTGAGGGTGGGTGGCACTCGGTGCGTGTGTAGCATACATCCTGGCGCTGGTACATTGTGTAACCCACAACCCACAAACACACACCGTCCAGACAGCGTCGCCGCAAAACCCATAAAGAACGGAATGTCATTGAACATCTAGATATTAAAACGGGAATCAGTATTCCACACGGCATGCCGCCGAACCCAAGATTTTTAAGGTGCCATGAAACGTATTCAAAATGACAAGGCACTTTCAAAAATAAATTTTCTTTAAAAAGAGAAGGCCACGAAATCTAATAGGGTAATAGAATATAAAATCGTAATTGAGGGGTTCAAAGTAATAAGCTTTCTGCCATTTATAATTTTTTTAAAGTAACTTTTTTAACCTTTTTAATGCCAAGGCAAACATGTTGTATACAAGAATTAAAAAAATTATAAGTCAAAAACGACATTTTTATGAACAAAATTTGTTTTTAAGTTAGTGTCAATATTATGTTTTAATCCCAAAAATGAAGATGCATTCAATCGTTTTATAGAATTAGAAAAAACAAATTTTTAATGATGGTTTCTTTATAATACGTCAATATTTAAAATCAATTATTTTTCAACTGCTTAAAAGGGATGTTTATATATACTGCTACGTAAAAAAAGATATTTCTAAAACATATTTTTGTACAAATTTTTTTTTTTGAGCAACTAAATAATGTTTTTGAACTTCGAACTAGCATTTCGTTCTTCATTTTTTGCTTTTACTGTTCAAAGCTTTTTTTCTTTACAAAATACATAGTTCAGCAATAAGACAAACGAGTAAACTGAGAAGGTTTTATAATTTTTATAAGTCTTTAAAATTCATAACTAAATATATATCTTTAGTTTTGAATGAAAGTCAATTGTGCTTTTATTCTTGATCAAGATCACTAGCCGAGTCGATCTTGCCATTTCCGTCTGTGATCTTCGAAACTATAAGAGCTAGAAAGGTTAGATTTACTATACTGATGCTGGGGGTTCATGCGGATGTTTATTATCCTGTTGTGCGCTCCAATAACGATTAAATCTTTCTAGCACCCACATATTTAAAGATTTGCTTCAATGAAGTGTCACCGCCGTTGGTTGTTTATGGATAAATTAAAATTGATAGCTACATATGTAATTGGTATATGATAGTCGAGGCACTTGCCTATAGCGTTTCTCTCTTGATTCTTACTATACTTCATATTAAAAGTTATATATGAGAAACCTTTAAGCTCCTCTTTGGGGCCCGAAGCTAATATTTTTCCAATAAAAACTATTAATTATATTGTAAGGCCTAAAGGTTAAACTGTCATTGATAAAAATATTTATACAGACATGTGTGATACATCATGTTACTTTGCTATTTTATCCAACTGTTTTTTTCAGGCTGCGTTTTTCTAATATGTAATTTTTCAATGCGCTTACATACTCTGCTCTTGTCTAAATAAACACGCTCTCAGCTTTTGTAAACAAAGCGATCGAAGCTAAAGCCAAACAGAACCAAAATAACAATTCAAAAACCTAAAAAATAAAAGAAAACACACACACAAAAACAAAATCAAATAAGCAAGAAAATAATTTTCCATTTTCGTTATTATGATTTTGTCTTTATCCCCTATCTTCCATTCTTTTACCTCTACCCCTTATATTTTCTGTGATGTTTTGGTTTTGTGTACATTTTTTGTTTTACTTTATGTGTATTTTGTTTTTTGTTTGTTGGTTTTTCTTTCACATGCGGGAAAACTAATGCACGACTATGCTCCGAGAACGAAGACGTCATGCACACTATAAGCTAAACAGCAGGTAAACTTAATAATAATTTCCATTACTAGCTATAAGCTCTAAAATTAAGTATACGTCCTGAAATCTAAAAGAATGGTGTGCCCCCTTGAAAGCGATCGGAAATATAAGAGAAAAAGCTTTGCGATACAGCTTTAAAGGAGGGGAGCTAAGATCCTCTCTTATATTTTACATTAAAATTGGTGAAGCTTTTATGATCAGTAAAAGCTTATTAACATATGGCTTTTTAGTTCTGTATTTTATAGGAAATGGTATCACCATAACATGTTTGAAAATAATAAGCTCTGGATTATTTGTTTACAATATCTTTATTTTCAAAATTATGAACATGATTGGTAGCTCTGTATACTCCTTTGAAATCAACATAACCGTAATTAAAGAATCATCTCTTCGATCTAATATATGGCTGCCATTAATGTTCATATGTATATTGGCGAGCCATAAATTATAGCCGCATTCCCAAACGTTCAGGTACTTTCCCAAATTACGCCAACTATTGCTTAGGTAAACAACTTGGTGAATTTTAAAGTCCAAGATTAAACTGTCCCCGTCAAATTTATGTCAAAATAAACAATAGATACAGCGGCGGTAAATGACAGCGGCGATTAGCTTTGAAACAAATTGGCACGAGTTTAGAAGAGGTGCGGACTCCTTAATTTATATTTATGCTTCTGACGCGCTCAGTTAACCTTTGCTAATTTTCTAATTGGCTGATAAATAAGCGGATTCACACACATTTTTCATTAACAAAAATATTATTTATTGAAAGTGGGGGCCAGCATGTGAACTTTACATAATGAATAAATGACAGAGAGAAACTGGCCGATTGAGTGGACTTATTTTTAAAATGTTGTGCGTATTAGAGCACATATATGTCCAAGATTTAATGGGATCTACCGATGTGTGGGTGCCAGATATAGTTTTATTTAGGCTGCCAATGTCGCGACACATTTCACTAGAAGAGAGGGCAGCCTGGTCGTGCAATTTATTCCATTCTGATCTCAATAAAAGAGCTGTTAATTTAATTGAAAATGCGGTTATTGTTAATTTACTCTATCATCTGCTGCTTACCAAAGAAATAAATTAATTTCTTCTACACCCAGTTACAACATTGACAATTCACAAAACCCAAACGAAATCCAGCATGGAATGCGATTAAAGGCTTGATTAATTTCCATTTATATCCTATGTTATTAATACCGAGGCTGCACCCGACAAAAAATGGACCAAACGGATATTTCATTCAACAAATAAATTTGCGAGTAAATATAGTCAATGTGCTTGGAGAAAAAATTAAAAAACAATATTGACATAATTAGATGGTTAATTGATTATGCAAGCAATACAAATTATTTTATTTTTTAGCCAGCCCTGAAGAGACAACAAAAAATCTCAAATATTTGTACAATTGTTCATTAATTTTTTGCCAATTAATGAAAACTTTTATAGTTTGTGAAAAGATTTAAGAAAACATTTTAAAAACCAACTTAGACCTGCCTTAAAGCAACACTTGCAAATTCAAACAGAAATTTACTCGATTCATTGTTACGGTTTTGTGGATTTTTTTCTATAAACGTGTTTTTTTTTACCAATATGTGTTTTTATACCCGTTACTCGTAGAGTAAAAGGGTATACTAGATTCGTCGGAAAGTATGTAACAGGCAGAAGGAAGCGTTTCCGACCCCATAAAGTATATATATTCTTGATCAGGATCACTAGCCGAGTCGATCTAGCCATGTCCGTCTGTCCGTCTGTCCGTCTGTCCGTCTGTCCGTCTGTCCGTATGAACGCTGAGATCTCGGAAACTATGAGAGTTACAATACTGGGATTAGGCACGCAGATTCCTGAGATTCCTGCGCAGCGCAAGTTTGTTTCAGTAGAGTGCCACGCCCACTCTAACGCCCACAAACCGCCCAAAACTGTGGCTCCTACAGTTTTGATGCTAGAATAAAAATTTTAACTGAAATGTAATGTTCTCATCAATACCTATCGATTGACCTAAAAAAAAGTTTGCCACGCCCACTTTAACGCCCACAAACCGCGAAAACCTGTGACGCCCACAATTTTTATGCTAGATAAAAAATTTTAACTGAAATGTATTCGTCTCGTCATTACCTATCGATTGACTCAAAAAAAAGTTTGCCACGCCCACTTTAACGCCCACAAACCGCAAAAACCTGTGACGCCCACAATTTTCATGCTAGATACAAAATTGTAACTGAAATGTATTGGTCTCGTCGATACCTATCGATTGATCCAAAAAAAAATTTGCCACGCCCACTCTAACGCCCATAACGCTTAAATCTGTATACCGCCGGTAGGTGGCGCATTTTAATCTCGCTTTGCTGCTTGCATATCTCCATTTAGCTGAGTAACGGGTATCTGATAGTCGAGGTACTCGACTATAGCGTTCTTCCTTGTTTTTTATTAATTTTTTGTAGTTAAAATATTTTTCTTGATATAAACTAGGTTATTAAACGAAGTATTGTTTACATGTGACCAAAAACATTGTGTTCAGAATATTTATCCATAAAAGCCCTGTGGAGAGAATGTTCGACCAAGGTTCGGAATGTAATTTGTTTAAAATGTACCTATTTTTGAAGGATTTTCATAAAAATGCTTGATTTTAATGTACATTTTCTACAGCTGCGGAGATACTCAAAAAACTCATTGCATAACTTTTTAAGTATTCGGCATAAATGCGAGTAGTCTAAAAAGAGTGATTTCTATAATTATTATTACAAGAGATACCTTAAAAAAATAAATAAATATCTCCTTGACCTACTGAAATTCTTAGTAAAGAAAATGTACATATAGTAACATAAAATATTTTTTCTTAAGTATCAGTGCGATTAATTTTATTAGTTTGATCATAGTGTTCGGTTGGCTTTTGATTTTATATATTTTGTTCAAGAGCATCTAAAGTTCGTTGTCCTTTGCATTCGTTGCCCGTTTAGCTTTCTGCGCTCTTTATTCGTCTGGTTCACGGGGCTTTTGTTAATCTTATAAACGAATTCTCGACACAGCATGCGTATTTCATTGAGAACGTTGATTTGTTGTTCCTTCGATTTACTCGCCCAAATTTGCTTTATGAAACTTTTTTGCTGCGTTCGCTTTTCGTTTTCGTTTTTAATTTTCCTTTTAATTTGTATAAAAATTGATGCAGACAAAGCTTGTTGCTCTTGGCGGCAGCGTTCAATGCCAGTCGTCGGCGATTGTTGTTCTAGTCGCTTTGTTTTTTGGCCAAAACTGATCTCGCCCAACTGTCAGTTTTCGGTTTATAGTCGACTCGTGCGGTTTTGCTGCGGTGAAATTGACTTCTGTTCGCCCATTTCTCATATTGTCACGCGGCTGTTTGTTAACAGAAACTATAATTAATTATTTAAGTTAATGTGGAGTCGATGAGAAAGGTGCGGCTGTGAAAATATCGTCGATGATTGCATAAACTTGGGAGAAACCCTTAAAAGTGTGTCGCTTCAGTTACCAGTGCAGATAGTTTTTCTAATATAAATGAAAGGCGCAAAGACAACTCGAACTCAATATGAAAGGACCAAGAGCAAGAGCAACAAGCGCTCGGAAAAGTCGGCCAAGTAAGAGAAAATCGAAGAAAAAGTTTATCCATTTACAATTCCCTTTCCCAATGCCTCGCCAAATGCACTTTAATTTTGGGAACGGACATCTGGCCCTCGAATATTATAAAAAGTCATTAACATTTTTTCTAATATCCGTACACTTTAGCGGTCGTATAATAAACAATATTCGCTTATGGCCAGCCGAACTAAAAATAAGTCCAGTTTGTTTATCATCGGTTCGTGTACATTGTCCAACTTGATTTTACACTACAAAGTTGTATACAAAGCTCGCTAATAATGTTTACTAATGCAAATCTATCTGGAATCTGTGTATTTTTCTTAGTGCCTGTGTATAGTGGTTCCTGTGTGTGTGGACTTCAATAAAACTGCCATAGTTTGCTTGCTATCGATCATCAGTTTATCGATTTTATTGTTTGGTATATTTAGAGCAAACGTGACGCTAAAAAGCGTTTTTTGTGTATATTGAAAGTCCACGAAAAAGAATTAAGAAACTAGGGCTGGACCGCATACGTGAACCAGTATCTTTGAACCAGAAAAAATTCCTACTGAAATTTATGAAATTGAAAATTTTTTTAAACAAATTAATATAAATTTGAACAGAACTATGTTTCTTTTACGATGCTGTCAGGATTTATTTTTTAGAAACATATAAAGGCATAACTTGATACACTGTCATTACGTGCCAGATGTAAATTTCTTTGTGAAGAATCTTTACCTATATCGGCAATTGAGTTAGTTTTAAACACCGAAACTTCAGGAAAATTAAAATCTTGGTCAATAAATGATTTTTTGTTAATCATCAAAAACATCAAAGAAAGCTAATTCTGTGAAATTACAAGTATTTGAGAATTCCAAAATTATAGTAGAGGAATCACGGGTGAAAGAAGTGTAGAAAGAGTAAATTTGTATAGAAGTCACTATAAAAGCTAGCATTCTACACCACTTTGAATAAATATACAATTTATATTTGGAAAGGTTGTAGACGTCTGCTAATCTATTTAGTGGCAATGTGTGGATTTCTTTTTTTTAAGCTATCGAAACGAAACTTTTTTATTAGTTAATTGTTTTTAAAACTACACAAAAACAACAACTTGATGTGGTTTGATATTATTTTATCTTATTTGTAATGTATTTAGAGGCTGGCGATTTGATAAGGCCTTCTTGTTTTATTATCATTAGGGTGTTTTCAGTATTGTTAGTAAGACTTGGTATTAATTATCTAACGTTTAAAAAATTACATTATTAAATTTAAGAAAAGTGAACATTTTTGGCCTTATGAAATATCAAACAAAAACACCTCTTAACGAGGTAAAAAGTAGTGACGAACGCGCCTTTAACAAAAATGTATGATATCAACAATTGTGAAGAAAAATGATATTACATTCGATAAAATAAATAAACTATATTAAATTTATGATTTCGGCCCGCAATAGTAAATATTTATTTACCTACACGTAAATTTTCTGATGTAGCGTGCCGAATACATAAATTTTATATAGTTTATAAAAGCCGGCGGCTTTTATCCCCACCGTATCCAGCAGCTTCAATTTTTTAAATTTTTACTTTTACACTTTCACCGCTTTTTCTCCCAAACAAATCTATATTTCGAAATTCTCTATGCAATCTTCTTAGTTAGTGCGATACCTTTCGATTGGTGTATCACTCGTTACGATCGGACCATAATGGCAGATTTTCAACTCTGCGGCTATATTTCGTAGTTGTCTTCGCACGCTCTCTTGCGCGCTTCGCCACTACGTGTACTGCCGTCCACAGTGATATTCATTTTTTTTATAACCCACTCTTTTGGTTTTTCTATTAGAATTTAGCTCAGCAGAGCTTTGAGGTTACCATCAATTGAGAATTTGTATAGTTTTAGCCCGGGCTATCCTTGAATAAGAAGAAGGAAGCCTTTACGACCCCGTAAAATGCATATTCTTAATCAGGATTACTGGATGAGTCGATCTAGCCATATCTGACTGTCCGTATGAACGAAGAAATCATGGAAACTTTTAGAACTAAAGGGTTGAGACTTGAAATACAGCGGAATCTGCAAGACTCTGGCTCTGACATTACGCTTGCACTGTGAGTTTAAAGAAAAGGATATTTCATTCCAAATACGCACATCGTTAAACATTTTTGAAGAATCCCTGAGATATGTTTCAGGGCACTTATTTGATAACAAGTCATTCCATTTGACATATTAACATAAATATCAAATAAAAAGACATCTTAAGTAGATAAGGGGTCGTGACGATCGCACCTTCAACATACAAAAGTTCTGATATCAAATTTTGTGACCAGAAATGCTTGTAAGTTTGACAAAACAAATACACTATACTAGGCTTATAAAAGGGACGTTTATCCCCACCGGACCCAACAGTTGAAATGTTCTAAATTTTCAATTTTTCAGTTACACCGCTCTTTTTCCCAAACCAATAAAACTTCGAAAAGTCTTGGTATGCACTCCATTTAGTTTTTGCGATATCTTTTAATGGGTGTATCGCTCGTTATTGAACCATCACTAGAGATTTGAAATTCTTGGGCTATATATAGTAGCACTCTGATGGTGCACTTCTTCACTACGTGGAACGCCGTCCACAGCGACTCGCAAATGAAGGGATGAATCATTTATCATGTACGCCTAAAAGACTACCATACATTCATGGATCGTTCCAAAAGATTTTCGAGAGAGCTTGTAATCCAAATTATTTAGAATGAAAACTCTTTTTCAATCACACAAAATAAATGACACTTGTCTGAGTTGAGCGTGCTGGCCAAATATTTGAAAATCTTTTGGGCCTTATAAATATGGGGCGATGTTTTCAGATCTACGCATTCCACAATTCGTTGGGGAGACAGTCTCCCAGACGACATATGTACGTTCGAATATATGTACCCATTTGTGTTCATAAATATTTGTTCATGCAAGCATATGAGATGGCTCTAAGAGCTGGGGTCCCACAAGCGATCGGCAGTTTGTCAAAAATTCTCAACGCAGACAGGAGTGTCAAATCGCTTGGAATAAAAAACGTAAGTTATGGAAAATTTGCAAAGAATCCCAACTTTATGGATCATTTGGGATTTGAATAGATCTTTTAAGATGCTTAATTTGATTTGCAAAGAGGCAGTGCGCTGAAAAGTCAAGGGAAACTTTGGAATACTCTTTGTGAAGATACCCGACTGAATTTATTTTCTTAGCAAATTCTGGTAAAATTTTCCCTTACTTTGCTGCGTACGTTAACAGCCGTTGATTGGATATAATAATTTATTTATGCATCGTTGTTGTAATTTATAGCTCTGCTGTGCTTGCTTTCCTCTTCCTTGGCGTTTTTTTTTCAGCACCACCTCCAAACGCACCAAATCGGTGATATATTTATATTTATTTTATTTATTTATTATTATTTATTTATACGTGCCGAGTGTTGAAAGGCCGCAGCCGTATAGTCGAGGAGAACGTCTAACAATTGGTACCAATGCTGGACCTATCCGGTTCAGTTGACTTACAGCATTCGTTGAAGAACGACCCGTGTCTTTAAGCGATTCACATATTTTTGATAGGCCAAGTTGGGAAAGAGCTAGGAATGTTGATAGGCTGCCGTTCGCCATGGCAACCGCTTAGCAATCGAAGGCAAATAATTAGTTTTATTATATATAACACTTCTCTTTTCCCAAGCATAATAACTAAGTTAATTTGGATTCTTTCAGATTGGACAGAAAGTCTTCGAGGGGCATGATATACGAAAATGAGGAGCTCAGGCTGCGCACCATTAACATTAATGCAGAAGTGGAACGAGGTACGGCCAAATTCGATGATAGCTGATCAAAAGCTGGCTAGTAATGCGTCATAATATAATAAATACTACAACAAACAGGAAATCAAATAATCGTTAAATAAATGGCGCAAAAAACAACCTGAAAACAGCCAATTAAAAAGACATTAGACGGTGGCTAAGGAAACCAAAATAATCCTACAGAATATAGCTAAAGAAATATCTCTACACGCACCTACTCGTACATAAATATCTGCCCACCTCTTCAGATATATCTGTCGGAATATTCATTAAAAATGTTTTCATTGCCAAAACACAAGATAAGCGAATGTAAACAATGCGATTTGAGGTGTCTAAAGGTCTGACAGCTCTACGTGATGTCCACGTGCTGTTCTTTAGACTCGGCCAAATGCTATTTAGAGATGTCCATCCCGGGCTTTGCTCTGGGTTTTCTTGGCTAAGACACGCTAATATGTTTTCCCATTCCAGGGCAATCGGACATCAAGCGCCTGCGGCGGGAAAATGAGCAACTGCGTCGGGAAATCTGGACTCTGCGGGACGAGTGCGACAGGCTCAACAAGCGCTTCAAGGCAAAGCTCAATGAACACGAGTTCGGCGGATGCAGGGGCAGCGGGGGGAGTGGCGGCACCTGCCACGCCTACCGCTGCAGCGGCGGAGGCGGTGGGCGTGGGAGCGGAGGTTGTGATGTAAACAGTGATGTAAGTGGACTAGCAATTGCAAAGGAGAAAACCAGGGGTATTATCTCTGTCTCTCTATTTTCTAAATGTATATATAGTTAAAATATATATTTACGATTTGAAAGATAGATGAGAATTTTAAAAATGTATTTTAAAAACTTTTAAAGCAAGGGCAAACTTCAGACGATTAGATTTTGTTAGCAAAATATTCTAGGAATGTCATGAACTTACCTAGAAAATATATTATTTTGATTTCAATTTTCAAATGGTATATGAAATGCCGGGATTCTTAAAGGCCATAAAGTTAACCATAACTAATTCATAAGCCCACATAAATTTGTTCAATACATTTTAAGTTTCATTATGTGGTTTTTAAAAATTCAATACAATGAATTAATATTTTAAAAGCGCCTGAAAAAAGTGAAAAAATATAAAATAAAAGATTAATTAAATGCATTTTTTTCTCTTTACGGTGTTCAACTCTACTTAAAAACTTATAATTTCTAAAATGTTTTTGAACTTGACAGGACTCTGACTCATGTGATACGTGTCGTGGGGCAGACGACGGCCACTGCAGCGACGAGTGCTGCCAGGAGGGTGGATCCTGTGCGCCGCTGAAGCCCCCACTTCCGCCGGAGGTGCCCAACCACCCGTCTCCATCCAAGAACGAGGAGGGTGGCACTGGCAACCAGAACAAGGAGCAGCAGCCCATGCACTTCGATCACCTGTCGGTGGTCTCCGAGGAGACCCTGAGCAACCCGGAGCTGATGCTCGTCCAGCAGCAGGAGCACCTCACCATCTGCCCGCCAGACCCCCACGGATCGCAGAGCACTCTGCCCAGCATGATGGGACCGCTCACCCCGCTGACGCCCATCGAACTGGTGGCCAATCAGCTGAACGACCTGCAGGCGATGGTGCCACCATTGTCCTACTTCGAGAACATCCTGACGCAGCACATGGGCGCACGTAATGCGGGTGAGTAGTCCTCTCTGCTTTTGGAAATCTGATGATTTAAGAATAATTACTTCAAATACCTAACAGATTCTATGTAACTCGTTTCTTGAAATTTTTGAAAATAAATATTCTGTTATTTCTTTTCAAATAAGAAAGAGAAAGGGAAAGCCCTCAGTACTTACTTTACTAAAACTATTAATATTCACAATAATGCAAATTAGAATGCAAATAATCAAAAGATATGACAATTCAAACATCTTTTATTCATTTTTTAGAATTTTAATTTTTAAGATTTAAATTATTTAAATATTTTGTTAGTTTTTGAATATTGGACAACTTAAAGTGCTTAGACTATAAGTTATAAATTACAATGAAGCGACAACACACAGAAGCTAGTTTAAGTAATCAGATATTATCTAAGCTATTGGCAATCACTTGGAAGCCCTATTAACTGAAATATTTTGCAGCCCAAACGCCCTCTCCGGAGTTGGGAACGAGCTCGAGCACCACCACCGGCAAGACGATGCGGCACACGAACGGCTGGGACTACAACCTGCAGTCGCCCTTCACGCAGCGCAAGTACTCCGATATGTCGTCGCCGTCCCGCTCGCCACCGCCACCCGTGAGTACGATGACCACCTTCGTGCCCACGTCCACCCTGCAGACGATGCCCAGGATCGCCCTGAATGCGCCACCGCATCTGCCGGAAGGGGGCAACATCGAAACGGTGGCCATCACCACGAATGCCGCGCAGCATGCGCTCAACAGTCCGAAGCACTTCTTTGCGCCGATCAAGCCGCGGTTGAGGCTCAACACCAAGTTAGCCAACCAGGGACAGGACCTGGAGCAGGATGACCTACCGCCAGGATCGCCGCCGCCGCCCCTGCGAGATCCACCGGATATATTCGTGAACAACGCCCTGGCCTCGCCCTATCAGCGACGGGTGTCTCCACAAGTAAGTCCTCGTCACCGACGGTCCACTCATTCGCATTGCCACGCCCACAGCCACCAGCGCAGCCGCCAACGCCCACAGCCGACCCACTGCTCCCTGCATCGGGCGGTGGTGGATGTGGCCGCTGCCGTTGGTTTGGGGGAGGTGGGTCCGCACCCGGGATCCAGTGTCCTGGACATATACACTGCTGCTCTGGCGGCAGCCGCTGCTGCCAGGTGCTCTCCACTTCCGACGGCCCGGTCCGCGGAACCCATCTATGCCACAGCACAAAAGCCCGGCCACAATACGTGCATCTCGGCCACGGCTTTCACACAGCCGGTGATGACCATCACCACCCACTCCACCAAGACCACCACTTCGCCACTGAGATTGGCCGGCAAAGCGAAGGCCGTTGGCGAGGCCAAGAGGGTGGCCAAGTCCGCGGAGAACGTCAGTCAGGTGAGGGATCCTCTGGCCGGCAGACGATCATCCTCGTGTCATAGTCATATCGTTCCAGTCCTCGGACTAGCTCATCTCAAATTGGTTTAGATTCAGTGTTTAGCATTTAGTCCTTCCTAATAGTATGGATAGATTTGTATCTGTTCCATAGCTGTGTGTAGTTTCAGTCATCTGTATTACTCTTTTATCCAAGGAAAAAGTATTATTATTTATCCTTATTGTATTGTCAATTCAGATGGTGTTTTAAAATTCCAAAACAGTCGGAAATGCTTATGTCCTTAAAAAAAAAAATTCATTCCATTTTCCAAATTTCGTGAGTATATTAGGAACATTATAATCCTTTTGTAAGCGTGCCAACCTATATAATAAATCTAGAATTTATAAAAAAATTGGTTCAGTTCAACATGTATCAATATATCCTTTTTCGACACCTTCAAAATGGAAATTGGTTAAATTAAGTGTTTCAAAAAAAAATATAATGTTTAGTCCAATTGTTTTTCCTTACCAAATAGCTTAAAAAAATTAAAAGGTATTCTCATTTTGGTTGATTGTTAACATCTTAGAATATACAGAATCATATGTAGTTCATGGTACCCATATTTATTAGCTAAGAACATTCAATTATTCTCCCCCAACTCTATTTGTTCCACGTCTGATTTGGATAGTATCCCTAGATGTGTTTCAGACAGAGTCTTTAAAGTATTTTAACAATAAAATATAAATGTTTAACTTTGTAGTTATAAAATCGTGATCTCCTCTCCAAATCTTAACTAATTTAATTTTCTCCCAAAATATTGCAATGCTTTCGCTTAAATATAGCTAATTGTTTATATATTTATAATGATTTACTTAAAATTACCCGCAGACGGATTCGGTCAACTTGGAGTCGATTCTGAACGACATCGAGACCATTTCGGAGGACATACTGGCCATCCAGCTGGAGAAGAGCAAGTCGCGCGACAACCTAAGTCACAATAACAACAAGGACGACGATCGGGCGAAGAAACCCTATCGCTCCGAGATGAATCTGTATCTGCAGTACGACGGCACAAATCCGACCATATCACCCGCCACAACGGAAACGGAAATGGGAACGGCTACACCGGCAGTGACCTCGTCCAGTGAGTCGGGAAACAGTGGGAGCAGTAAGTTAGTGCGCCGCACCAGATCCTTGGAGAGGGAGCACACCGACAGTCCTGCACCGCACATTCCGGACCCCATGGCTCCGTTCCCCGACAAGTGCACCTACCTGGGATTCGAGCAGGTTAATCAGGCAGCAGGTGGAGCCGGAGTGCCTCCCCAATCACCGAATGGCCAGAGGCCGCCCATTGCAACCAAGCCAAACGTACCGCTAAAGGCACCGCCCCCGCTGCCACCCGCTCGACGGCCAACCATGCCCTCAGAACCACCGCCCCCGCCTCCAACCACTTCCGCTTCCGGCGTCATCGGTCTGCCGCCCAACAAGAGCCACCTGTACAAGTCACTGGCTACGGCGGCTGCCAAAAGAGCCATCTTCCGCTCCTCGCCGTCGCAGTTAACCAGATCCCTGGATGTGGATCTTACGGGGACGGAGGGCGGGGACCAGGCAGCTGCTGCAAATGTAAGTACAAAAACAAAGAGCGATTTTTTCCGGGAAGAATCATAGCAAATTCAACAGCCTATGACTCTTGCCAGAATCTAACTGAAATTGGATTACGGAAAATTAGGCTTTTAAAATTTCAGAAAAATAACTCAAAATATATTTCTATACTAATATAAATACTTTTTTGATATTGAGAATACATTTTACTCGAATTTTCACTGTTATAAAATGAGTCTTTAAAAATTTGAGAAGTACACTTTAGTTTCAAAATTAAAGACAAAAGAAGTATGCACTCAAAAAGAAAATGTAAATATTTATTAAATATTCCAATGGTAATTTTTTTTATTTTTGAAGAATATAAATTTGATATTGAGAATTAATATTACTTAATGTAGATTAATAAATTTAACAAATTGTTTTTAATAAAATTTAGTTCAACAATATTTTGAAATTAGCCATACATTTAAGATTTTTTATCAAAGACTTTATATAATTTTAAAACCATATATATATATTAGTCGAATTGAACAAAAGAAGAATATCAGAACTAAATATTTGCTCTCTAAGGCTGTCTATCATTCTCTTCGTACATTTCATGGAGGGGCAATGAATTATCATTTCAAAAGTATGGACATTCATATCAATTTAACCGCTCAAAACCCTTTCAGATGGATGAGTTGGCGAGGCGAAAGGCGCGACGCGTGTCCATCGTGTGTGGATCCGGACAGGGGGCCCAGCCGGATGAGGCGGCCACTCCCGTGACTTCCCTGCCCATGGCCACCGCCAGCTGTGTGGACCTGAGCACCGTGCTCACCCACCCGACCATCAAGGCCTTCAAGATGAGTCACAGCACTCCCAGTTCGCCGCATTCCTCGCGTCGCCGCACCAACAGCAACTCGATGGCACCTCCACCGGGAGCGCCGGCGGGTGGGGGACACCCCGAGGTCGGGGCCACTGCGTCGGCACCGCCCAGCACCACCCACCACCACCACCATCGCAAGGAGGGCAGCGATCCGGTTCCCATGACGGCCACCGTCAGTCGGACCAAGTGCTCCAGGCGGCACTCCGAGGGCACTGTTCACACGTTGCACAGGAACAGCGCCGCCAGCGGAGGAGGAGGAGGAGGAGGTCACCACCACCACAGCCACGGGCACCACCACCCACACAGCGGGATGGTGATCAGCAGCAACCCGCACCACAGCCACCATTCCCACCAGGACAGCAACCACGAGACGGCCACCTCGCTGTCCGATCGCAACTCCAACAGCTTCGGCTCCTCGCGGGAATCCTCCACGAGCTTCAGCATGCGCTCCAGCCGCCGGAAGATCTCGGTCAGCTCGCACACGGGCGGCAAGATTCCGTGGTGCGGCTGCTGGGGCAACGGGTGCCTCTAGATTGGGGAAGGGTCTCTTCATCTACCGTCCAGGAACAAAACTCAGTGTAATTCACTTAGCTGGCTTTCATAAAATTACCTAATCATATACAGAAACTAGGAGATTTGTCGAGATTTTAAATGTATGCATTTCATTTTTGAAAATAGTGGATAGTTTAAAGGAATAGACGACAAATTTTCCTTTAGAACGAATCAATATCCTGTCAAAGAACCCACTTTTAAAACATGAATACAAATATAGCTCCTATTAAAAACAAAAGACATTAAAATACGGCATTGCTCCGAACAACGGCGTAAAAGTCCATTAAAAATCATAAAAATAATTGGAAATTTGTTCAGCTAGTCTGAATTGTTAGGCAGGAATTGGAATCACGGAGTAAAATAAGTTGAAGCCATTATTATTTGAATGTCAATTTTATAATATACAATTTGATTATCTTGCATTGACTAAAAGCAAAGCTTAACATTGTTAAACAAACGTGCTTACCAAAAAATCATTATGCTCTAAATAGTTGTTCTAAATAGTTGTTTTTCACTTTGATTTTATTTCTCTTTAAAATTTGTTGTAATAACAGTTTATATAAACACTCATTCTGATTTTTCCAAAAGTAACCTAGGTATTGGCCACAGCTAAGTGAATTATACTGTCTTCCATTCATGAGTGTACATTTATAGATCTTCATATATCCAATTTACGTGTTTGTATATGGCTTTTTAAGTGTAGATTGCTTAAGAAAAGGGGCCCAGCATTTTGTTTCTAGAAACAAAGTACAAAACAATTTTAAACAGTTTAAAATTTAACCAGCCCTATTCAAAATTAATACCAATATTTGTTGTACATATTATTATAGAAGCAATTAAGTTGTAGCATTTAAACTATGACCTCGAACTAGAAATCATGTAAATTCTATGAACCAACCTATGTTATAATTGTTGCTGAATTCGGAGAGAATACAAATCAGAAATATAAAATAGACAATTATTTATTATACCTCTTGACCTGGTTGAGTAATAACTAATTTAATTATAGGTAAGTGTGTAAGTCCTTGATCTTTAAAAAATATTTATCAACGTTATCAAATAACACAATTATATAACGTTTTAATACTTATTGATTTAATATGTATCGCTCAATCTAGTTTAGATAGGCGGGTCTTAATACTATGGGGATTAAAATGCGGAACGATAAGTTGGCTTTAATCGGCTTTGGCTCTCCATTTTAATTCCCGCGTCAGAACTTTTTCAGCAAAATTTCATTTCACGCTTGTTAGCCGCTCCAAAGTTGCACTCGGCGCGTGGATCCGCTGACTTTAACGCTGAACAGGGACAGGATGAAAATGAAAGGACACGACGGGCGGCGGCAGGAAACGCTGGCTGCAACTGCAACTGAAATTGCGCAACAAGCGAAAATATACAATATGCAAATTAGCCGCAAATTAAGGTGTAAAAATGCATGACACACAAAACGCCTCTAGGATATATGCAGGAAACAAATTAAATTTTCTCCATGTACCAGTGCAAATTGCGGCTGCAGTGCAAGGCGCGAAGGTGATGGGAGCGTGGTAAAAAGGGAAAAACCCAGGTCAGAGGCCACCGCAGTGCGCCAGAAAATATAGCCCAGCCGTGGGCCACAGCACAGTTTATTGTACTCCTCCTCATGCATCCCATGCTTGAAGGACACTGGACTTCATCACTGGCCAGCTGCCAGTCAATTGTGCGCCACTCGAATTCGTTTTAGAAATAACAGAGCTTATGGCTTCTTCGCTTAATTGATTGGCTGCCAAGTTTGCCAGATTGCCGCGAGTTTTATTTCATTGCAATGTGTTTGTCTTGGCCATTAACTACTGCCAGATGCAGTCCAATCGCTTTTTTTATCTCCGAAAGACACGAGAAATCAATTTGTAATCATTATGAGTTGGTTTATTTGCCAATGAAAATCCATATGGCAACTTAAGAAGTCAATCAGCCCGTAACTGTCCCACATAAAATCTTAAACTAAAGCCAATAATTTGTGGCAAAAAAAAAATTACATGCCCCGGGTGAGGCTCGAACTCACGACCTTAAGATTATGAGACTTACGCGCTGCCAACTGCGCCACCGAGGCCTTGAGAATCTGTGTGTCAATGGAGAAACAATGCGAGAAAACGGATAAGCTGGTCTAAATTTGTAATGCAGAGATAACATTCGGTGTTCTAAGATTTGTTGTTCTTGCAAAAATTTGAATGCAGCGATAACATATTCTTTAAACTTTGTTATTATCGCAGTAACTTGAATCATGTATTTGTACTTTAAACCTTGCTATTATCGCAAACATATTTATTTATATATATATATATATATTTATAATTGCAACTCGAAATAAAAATAACTTTTTTAAGGCAATTCTATCTGTTCCTTTATTACTAAATACTTTTCGGCATGTTCTCATCTATACCGGCTCTTATCAATTTAAAATATTAAAATATAAATCAAAACAAAAAAGTTTTAAGTTTTAACTTTGTTTTAAATATGACATTTTTTAATGACGAAAAATGTTTAATGGTAATTTGCATATAATAAGTCTTTAATTTTTCCATAAATAAATTCTTTTAAAATTGTATTAGGAAATTTATTATGTTGAAAATTGTGTAATTGTATTTAATTTAAACATTTAGTACACTTTTTTTAACTCAATAAGCAAGTATGTTTATCTACTTTTCTATTTGTATGATCAGTCTGTAAATACAAATTACACTAGCTTACACCCAAACTGCTCCAAGAAAGATTATGGTAGTTCCTGGTAGAGTTGGAACCCTCGATCACAAAAAATAAGTCAAAATAACTATTTTAGGATACCTTTTTTTAAATATTTTTACAAATTTATTTGGTATCTTCGAGTTTTTAATTACATTTCGACTTGGGCATAATCAATTAAGGTGATAGGTGTTCTAGCTAACAACTATAATGTTAAATGTTCAAATATGACGTATAAATGATTAGGCTACATTGAGTATATTGTGAGCTACAATTCGGCAAACCAACAGACACCTTGCAGTCACTAAATTGCTAAAAACCTAAAAAAAAAATCACTATAAAAAAAATACATATGTCACCTTTATTGGCTAAGCGCAACTCAAAATATAAATAAAAACTCGGAGATACCAAAATCATGTTCTTAAATATATATTTATAATATGATCCAACTAATTTGTTTTACTTGTTATTTTGTGATCTATAGATCCCTATAATGACAATTTTTACCCGCTGCATATATATATAACAGTCTTTATCACAAACCTCATCAAAACCGATGAGCCAGAGCATAAAACCAATATCTAATTATGATCCCATATTTCCGAAAGCTTGATTCGCCTATTAAATTTGTGATTGCTTTGACGTTAATGAGGAAACTTCTGTCTCACCGAACCATAAAAAAGGGTAAATTCCATGGACCCAACGACTCAGACTGACAGGTATTCCAGCTTTGCTCTTTTGATTTATACGCTGAACATACGCGCGTATACTTATTTTATGGCTCTTGTTTAGTTTCTGTTGTGAAAGCGTGGTTGGCGCTTTCAATGAGCTGTGTCTGCACATATTTCTCAATCATTCCGAGTTTTCAGACAATACCGTGTACCGTGTATACTGTTTCATATGCAGACATATATATGAGTTTTTATGACGCTTGTTTGTTGCTGTTGCTGTGGAGCGAATGTCTACTGCTTTTATTACCATAAATTCTGTCGCCTTTCTGCCAGAACCCCAGACCCACTCATCCCATTTATATGATAGCGTTTCATTGTTTTAGCCGCCGAGCCTTGACGTATTAACAATTTGTCAAGCGAAATTTAGCAGCAGCAGGATAAAAATCAATGCATGGTAACTAATTACTTGCTGGCTAAGGATGTCTTTCTTTCGCAACTGCATTTATTGTACACTGAAAGACTCATACGTTTTAAATATGTTTACTTTCATTTCTGTGAAGAGCTCTATATATGGAAAAAGCTGCCCATGTCCGCTTTGTTACTTATTTTTATAGGACATAGTTGCTTAAATATTTTACTTACATTATTTAATACTTATCCCTTGTAATAAATAAACATAAATTTTATAAAAAATGAGCTTTTTCAAAAAAACATTAAAATAAAAAATTAAAAATTTTATTTAATTTACCTTGAAGAAATTATAAAGTTTATCAAACTTAAGTTACTCATCTTATGGTACAAAATCACTTTAAATTCCCTTTTAGGTGTCTTAAAAATATGCAGAAACAAAGGACATCTTTTTTAATTAATTTATTGTAACTCTGAGTTTTAAATAATTTAATCAAAATTAATCAACTTGGAAAATCCTTTTTAATTTTGAAGATAAGTTAACGCATTTTTTCAAAGTGCATTTCGTGATTACTCTGCGGCGGCAGATGTGACACGCCCCCAACTGATGTCGCCCGATCCAGCTGGCTCTGCTTTGTTTGCCCGCATTAACTGAGTGGACATCCCATCCAGTGGGCATCCACAGATGTCCTGGCTCTGGGGAGCTGCTAAAAATTGCAACCAGCAACTGATGATGTCCCCGGCGATGCTCGACGTCCCCTTCCCACATGAGCAGCAGGGCGGCATCTGCTGGTGCAGCACTTTTTCCGCTTTGAGCCAAACACTCACTTTGATCATTTTTCATTTTCCAAAGCGACACATGAGCTCTCCCAACCCATCTAGCAGGATGTCTGCAGCTGGATTCCAGGATTCCTGGACGTGTGCGGAGGCACGGGTGACAGCGTCGGACTTGCGTGATATTTTTATTAAGAAATATATCAAATGCACATAATGCACACATTCCCAGCTGCCATATATAACCCGCCAGGGACTTGGGCGCAAGCCAAATGACACTTTATTATTATTTTCATTGTTATGCGGGATTCTATTAAATTAAGCCCTAAAAGCGATGATTGAGCAGCGCCCAGTCACCTCTTTTCCACTCAAATTTCGAAATTCAGAACTCAAATTGCAAATTTATTCATACGAGTCGCGGTTCACGTCAAGCGTTAAGTTAAGTTAAGTGACCTTTCGAATGCCTAACAAGCCGGGTTCCTCGTCCCGCTTGAGCCTTTTGTTGTTCACTGAATTTGCATAATCGCGTGAAGCGTACTTGCAAAATAAAAACGAAGCAACTCACACACTGAAAATGTCAGGAATTACACATAACGTGGGGGACTTCGTGGAAGTCGTGGGTCAATGCGCAGAATTCGTGTGCTAAGCCGTTGGCAGGCACTCCGAAAAAAGAGGTATATCGTAATTTTAAAGGAAAAATAATTTGGTTCTTTTTAAAAATGTTAGCTATGAATAGTTTTTCTAACCCCAATTATCAAATATTTCATAATTTTGTTATTATTGTTATGCGACAACATCTTTGCACTAACGTTATTTTATTATTTTACCTCGATGAATGCGTAAAAATCCTGTTGGATTTGATGCGTTTATAAAGAAATTTACTTACACCAGGAGTCTAAGAAAAATAACGAACCTAAAACGTACTACCTTTTACACACTTTGTTTTTAACTATGCTATGATTTTTTAACAGAGGTGTTAGCAATATAAGAATGTTGGGTTCTTTGCCGTTAAGCACAACTACAAATAATTGTAAGTACATTTTACTGAGTGCGGCACATTATAAAAAGGAAATGGTGAGAATTTAATTGTTTGTTTTTACACAGTGTATTAAAACGTCTGCTTGGAATATTTTTTTAATTAAATGGATCAAATAATTTATGGAATTTTAAAGATCCTGATGCTATGTTAAACCTGCACCTTTATTACAGGATAATAAGTTTAAGTGCATTTATACGGCTTTGGAGGCGGCGGAGCAGGTTAAGAGTGCCTTTGAATAATTTGCATTTAACATGCGCGACATGAAAACCGAATAAACAATGCTTTCAACTTTTTCCCCTAAGCCGAGGGGCAATTTGTCAGCTGCTAACTGGTCGCCAGAAAGTGCGCCTG